TGACATTTAAGCACCTTTCAAAAGGTCCACTGTCCATGCCAACTGTATTTTTGTGTGGGCAGCATAATATTGGGGCTAGTTGAGCTTTTAACAAGCTTAATTATTTATGTGCACTTGGTAGGTAAGCTACTGATTTTCAAGCCCACCTACCCTCTGTTTTGGGGATGAACTCAGGGATGAGTGGCAAGATGGTGGGCCAGCCAGTGGCCTATATTTTGTGCTTTTCTGCTGAAAATATACCCAGCAGGGGCATATAATATCCAGCCCAATAGCTTTTACCAGCAATATTTAATTGAAGGAAATTTCTGATCATTCTGTGCTGGATGCCAGACATGCAGTCTGAAAATGTCCAAATAATGGAGGGCCATGTGGGACAGGAATGAGGTACAAATATATGTCCTGCGCCATGTGTTTTTGGATACAAAACAGAAATTGCTGGAAAAGTTCAGCAGGTTTGGCAGCAACAGTGGAGAGAAATCAGAGTTAACATTTCGGGCTGAGTGACCCTTCCTCAGCACCCAGGGTTTACAACTTTAAACTTAGACTTTTATAACTTAGTAGGCAAGGTCAACACTAAACCAAGGACTTGAACAGAATAAAATACAAAATAATCGTATTTATACCTTCTTTCACTTTGGTGTTTCATATCAATATCTTACTGCTTCTTCATTGCCAAGTCAGAAGTCACATGACACCTGGTTATAGTCCAACAGGTTTATTTAAAATCACATGCTTTTGGAGCGCTGCTCCTTTGTCCCTTCACCTGATGAAGGAACAGTGCTCCGAAAGGCTGTGATTTTAAATAAACCTGTTGGACTATAGCCTGGTGTCATGTCACTTTTGACTTTGTCCACCCCAGTCCAACACCAATATCTCCACATGATGGCTACCATCTTCATTACTAAAATGCATGTTTAATGAAGTAGAACATTCAAAAGTACTTCACAAAGAGATAGCTGGATATGAATGTGCAGGAATAGGATATAGAAGATATGCTTGAAGATATAAGTTATAAGCTGTTTGAAGATTGAACTAAAGAGTTTGATGGAACTTTATTCATTTCTGCAATAGTTAAAACGGCATAAATTTATGCTGCAGCTGGCATGTCATTATAATAGTTATAGACGTCCATGCACTGTGAATTGTGTGGAAGTTATATATAGTTCAACAGTTTGAACCTTAATTTTGATCTAGTCGCTGTGGGGCCAGTAAGATCTTACAGTCATAGTCTCGAGCAGTCAGGTCTGTAGCTGATATGCATCAAAGCTGATGCCCTTGTGCAGGACACTGGTTGCATAGTAAGTATTTTGAATTAATCACTGGCATGTATTTAGGCTTTGCAAATAAGTCCATGAATCACTCTTGCAAAATTATGCCTGTCAGAGATATTTAAACATATGAAAGGATGAGACACAGTAGACAAAAAAACAATGTTTTCCAATCATTGAAATGTCTAATATATAGGCATAAACCTAATGCAAGAAACATAGGACAAGTAATTGGAAAATGTTTATGCAAAAAATTGTGACACTGCTGATTGAATTACTGATGTCAGAGAATGACACAGTGACCATGTTACTATTTAGAAAAGCCTAGATAGATGATTGATAAAAGGAAAAAGAGGAAAATGGTACTATGCAACTGGGGTACTGCTCGTGTGGAGGATAGTCATACTATTTTTTCACTGAACCTTAATATGCGCAATTTTTCAAATACAGTCCTAGTCTAAAAATGTCAAATATCCCAAATTTTATAAAAGCTTTCAAGGCTTTTAAGACTCCCTGTCTAATTATTCACTATTAGTACTTACATAAGCATATTTATAAATAGTGGATTGCTTTGTTCTTTCAAATGTCACAAAGATATGTTTTGAGGAGAATGAAAGTTGATCTTACTGACATTGATAAGATCCTGTGGGGACTTGATATGGTGCCTGCTGAGAGGGTGTTGTCCCTTATGGACAAGACTAGAACTAAAGAACACAATTTTAACATAATGGGTCTCCCATTTAAGGCAGCGACAAAGAGATTTTTTTTTTCTCTCAGCATGTTGAGCACCTGTGGAATTCTTTACTCCAGAGAATGGTGGAGGTTGGATCATTGAATATTTTTAAGGCTGAGGTAAATTGATTCCTTGGAAGGATATTGTTAGAAGGATGTTCCTGATGACTGTTGAGTGCAGAACCAGGGTCATGGTCTAAGGACACGAGGTAGGTCATTTATGACTGAAATGTGGAAAAATGTCTTCACCCAGAGTGTGATGAGCCTGTGGAGTTCTGTGCTACACACAATGCAGTTGAGGTCAAAACACTGAACATTTTCAAGAAGCAGTTTGATATAGTTCTTAGAGCTAAAGAGATCAAAAGGATGTTAAAGAAGGTTCAGGGTATTGAGTTAAATAGTCAGCTACGATCGTACTGAATAGTGGAACTGACTTGAAGGGCCGAATGGCCAACTCCTGCCCCTGTTTTCTATGCATCGGGGGTAGAAAAGTGGATTTGAGGCCATATTAAGATCAACAATGATCTTGTAGAATGGTCAAACAGGCTTGAAGGGCTAAATGGCCTACACCTGCTCTGAATTCATGTGTTATACTAGTTTGATTTTACAAATTTTAATCTCTAATAATCAGAGATAAATAGGGGGTAAAATCTTGTTAAAGTCAAAACAAATAACTCCACTTAGGGCAGTGGACTCAGATAATAAGCACAACAGAACAATTACTCAGAGATTCACAGAGCCTTGTAACACACAAGTAGACCTGTAATAAAAACACATAAAGTGCTTCAGAAGCTCAGCAGGTTTGGCAACATCTGTGGGGAGAGAAACAGAATTAACATTTTGAGTCTGATATGATTCTTCTTTGGACCTGTCGTATCTGTGCCATCTTTAAAATAACTATACAGTTCAGCAGACTCGCCTGTTTGCTCCCCATAGCTCAGTGTAATAATGTGACAATCTCCCAGTGGCCCAGTGTGGTGGTCTCTGGGCAGTATATGGTGGTCTCTCGGTTTGGCAGTGTAATGTCCGGACCTTGTGTATCCTGAGGTGAAGCTAGGCGTGGTCTGGAGTCAAGGCCCAATGTGGACTGGAGGCTAGGTGTCAACATGGACTGGGTTGGAAGTCTGTTGTTCTGAACATTTTTTCCCCATTTTACAATTTATTTCTAAAATCTGCAATGCTAGTTTTTTTTACTTCTCTGTTTTTCCAAGAACTGTAATCGTGAAAGCTTTACCTAGGGACATTTGTACCTAAGATGATGCCATAAGTGGTGACTTGTACACTTTTTACTGTACTCATTTGAGTATGTGATAATAAAGTTAATTCTAATTCTAATTCTGCTAAGTAGTACTTCTAATTTGTGTGTTCATTTGCACTACAATACACACATACTGCACAGTTAAAACCCATTTGAACCTAGTTAAAACAATCTGTGTTCCTCTGTCTCAGAATCTATTCCTCCTCAGCTTCATGGAAATTGTTCTGTAATAGGGAGGGCAGATCAACCATTTCACATGAACCTTATTCCTGGGGCCTGTGAGTTTGCAGTAACAATGTCAGTCAACAACCAGAAAATCTTTGACTTATTTTCAAAGTTCCAGTCTAAAGCGTGAGTTATCGCTAGAGGGCACCCCAATAGAAATTTGCAGAGATAGTTCAACAAAACTATTGAAGGACTCGCAATAACCCATCCATCGAAATGACCTGTCCGACTGGACAATATTTGATCCAAATGTAACTTTACCCACGCAAAAATGTTTCAGTCAACATATCACGAAGCAGATGATTATTTCAGTTTTAACTTGTTTCTATAAAACATCAGACTTTCCGTTTTATTCATCTCAGTACCTATGATTAATTGGAGAAAGACCAGAAGATTTATAAAATGGTACTTTTAATGATAGATAAATAGATATGGAATTAAAAACGTAAATGTGAAAGTCTGAAAAAGAAACAACTTCGCATTTTAAGGAAAGGAAAACAGTAAAACTTCAAGTTGGCTATCCGTTTGCTGTTGTAAAACATGATACAAACTTCCAAATATCACTTTGGGATAAGGGATGCTGTGAATTAGCCGTAAGATCATTTAAGTCGATCACTGTGCAAAAAACATCTTCCCTCCTAGTCTCTTCATGCCGACTGATGTAGGTATTGTTAATCCCTGCATTAGGGGAACAAAGCAGACTGGGGCATTGAAAATTCCTTTAAAAATTGGCACTGGCAAAATGTAAAGACCACCCTATTAATGAAACTGAACAACAACTTACAGTGCATTAAACCTGAAAATACTCACAAATCAGATTTACAATACTGTGCGATGCAAAAGAATTCCCTGCTGTCCAGTTGCATTGGTGGATGAAAATCAAATTAGAAAAAAAGGTACAAAACCAGAAATTACTGGAAAAGCTCAGCAGGTCTGGATAGACATTTGAGTTAACGTTTTGGGTTGAGTAATCCTTCCACAGCATACGTTAGAAAAAGATATATCTGTTCTTCATTTAAAACAATGTATTGTGAAAGTGCATTGCTTCTTTTTAGTTGAATAAAAAAAAATGAGTTAGCTGCAGTGTTCAATGCCTCTTTTCTCCCCTTTTCAGATGAATGGGGTTAACAGTGTTTGCTTTTTCAGTGAATTCGCCGCCTGGGCAATGGGGACAGACCAGAAGCCAGAAACATGCAGTGCTGATTGCCCTGTCTAACTAAGGATTACTCAAACTCAATGCTACACATTCTGGGGAAAGCCTGCTACTGTCTACATGGAAGCTACAAGACGCGATTTTGTTTTCTATTTTTGTTTTGCGAACCTGCAGTAGCATCAGTGAAACATGTGAATGCAGCGGAACAGAGAGAAAGAGAGAGAGAAAAAAGTCCAAACTTAAGACAAAAGATGTTTGCATCAGAGCCCAATCGTCACTTCGAGCAGCGTCACGGCAGGTCCGGAGCCAACAACATCATTTTACAGGATATGACCAGGCTGGCTTTTACCCCGCTCCTGCCCCCAGCAGAAACATATAAATTCAGCAACCGGTTTCTGTAGAGACGGAGAGAGCCGCTATCGATCTGAGATTCAGTGCCCGGCTGGGAAACTGACCAAGGACCAGATTGCTACAAACTACCCCACAACAGCCCAACTCCGCTTCAAAGGAACACACACTGTGCAGCGAAATTGAGGCGGCGCAAGGAAGCTAAGATTCACTCCCCCCCCCCCCCCCCCTCTTACTTCTCCCTCTGCCTCTGGTCCGCATTTGGACTTGTCGCAAGGTGAGTAACAGTGCGGACTGGGTGAGGGGGGGTTTCTTAGTTTACAATCCGCTGATTAATTTGCACTGATCCGCCCAAAATACTCTTGTTTTAGGCAGAACATAAACAGAGACAGCTGCTGAATTGTTTGGCATTATTTACTGACACAATCCCGGACGCGAAAGGTTCTCACTACCTTCACGGTAAAGTTCTGAGTTCAGAGGGTTTAAAATTGCTCCTTGTGTCCGATAGCCGCTGAGCCCTCCCCCCACCGCCTCCCGGTCGTTTTCTGGATGTATAGGCGGATCATTCCGGGAGATACCTTTCACACATCCAGCATCTATCGGGGACCGTTCTCTGGATTCCGGCTGATAGACGGGACTAGAGACACGTTCATCAAACAATAATCTTTAACCGAGTCGCTGGAATTGACTTTGTATGATCGCATTGCACTCTACCTTCTGATCCAAGTTACCAAACTGGTTGTACCGTTCATGTAGAAACAGCTCAAGTAGCAAAGACTCCAGTTTATACAGTTCCTTAACCTCACTGCTGCATTTGCACTATGAACCCTTCAGCTCTTAGAGCCAAGATAATAATATATTTATATTCAATAATTTAGTCATTTATCTTTCAGCATCAGTACTTACTCACAAACAGTTTTAGGCTCAGAATAACTTCACAATGCATTAACATAGCAGTTATGAAATTTATGCCCAGTTACTTTAACAGCTGTTGAGTTTGACCTCTTTTTTTGTTATAGTTCCAGACCCAGCCCATTAAGTGTTTGGCGTCAGTCTGTTGCTTGAGCCCGACCATTCCTCAAGACATGAGTCCTTGCCACTCCTGGATCCTATTTGCCACATTAATAGCCTTGGTGCAAGACTCAAGCTGCCGGAATTTGCCCAATGCCACACATTTCGAACGTTTGCTCAAAAACTTCCACTCCAGAGCCAAGAGATCCATCTCCCAGATTGACAAAGATGAGATTTTGCAGCTTCACAACCACCTGAGGGGAGAGGTCTATCCTTCATCCTCCAACATGGAATACATGGTGAGTAGATGCCAGAGGTCAGTGCTTTCCAACATGTTTAAAGCTGTGACCTCATTTGGAGGCATGTGAATTGTGTATTCCCAAAGGGAGGACTATGTGGAGGGACAGCAGGGGGTAGTGTGTAAGGAGGGTGGCTATCTGTTAGCACCAGACACGGTTGTTATAACTCGGTCAGAGTCCTGTGACAGCTATTCCTGCCCTGAAATTGACAGCCCTGAAATTTCAGCTTGTGACCTCCTTTGTGTGTCCATCCCTACCTTAGGAAGCCCTGCCATAATTTTCACCATCATTGGATACTGAATTGGTAATCATGGGGGAAGGAACTTCTCAAATTAACAACTTAAAACAGACATCATCTCAGATACAAAAAGAAGTTTCACTTCTGTGCTTTTGTTCCTTTTCTGTCTCCAGCATGGTGTGTGTGTGTGTACCGCTGTATACTGCTGGAAATGTTCTTTCTGGCTTTTAACAGTCATTCCAGCAAAATGACATGGGGTGCTCCACGCATTCTTGCTTTGTCTTGGGATGCTTAATGCACTGATTTGTTGGGATGTTCCGTGCAATGTTGAACCAAGCCTCCACAGGACTTGGCCTACCCTGTAGCCAGAGGAGCCTGGCTTTGTCCACTCTATAAATATGGATGGAAGCATTACATTGATGTGTTTGATTTTTCTAGCCTGCTGATGATGTAAACCTAGCAGACTACATGTTGAGGAAAATGTGAAGAAACTTTTTTTATTTATTGGCTTCTGGAAGAGACATCCACTAAATCACTTCTTACAACACTGTTTCAATGTGTGTGATTTCCATTTTCCTGAAGATCTGTTTTCCTGTTGTGACTATTTCAAGTTGACTATGGGCAAGGCTTTAACTAACATGAAGAAACTAGGAGTAGGCAATGGATAAATAAAACAGGGAAAATTGATAAGTGCTTGTGTAAGTAATGCAGTTATTTTCAGCGCTATTAATTGAGAAAACTAGTCATTTTGATTCTAAATATTCAATCAAACCTGCCAACCCCTCTTATTTCTCCTTTCCCATACCAACAAAATGTAATCTTAAATTTCTTATAACTGGAGTTTTAAGTAAATTAGACACAAAATGAATACAACAGAAAAAGGGATCTTTGGTCTGGGAGTAGGGATCTAAATTATTAACATCATCATTTTAGGAGTTACCTCATTTTCAACTTTTAATTCAGATGGCTTGACTCATTATTACTGCACTGAAGTGGATTAGTTTGTGGGAATGAGTGAACAGTACGTGTAGAAGTCTGTAATAAAATTTAAAGATGGGGCTATTATATGGAATGTTTTAACTCTAAGTGTTATTCCTGACTCAGAATGAATTATTTATTGAAATAGTGAATGAGTTATTATTCAATGCATGGTGTGTTGCTTTGTAGGAATGGGATTATGAATTGGAACGGTCTGCTGAGAGCTGGGCCCAGCAATGCATTTGGGACCATGGTCCTTCCCATTTGCTCAAGTCAATAGGTCAGAACCTGGCAGTACACTGGGGAAGGTAAGGGTCTTACACAAGCTCATTATATTGTACTTATTTCTGAACACGGATCCCACATTTCAAAGTTTGGATCATTCCAAAACAAGTTCAGGATGTTTCTTAGGATAGTGGATCTGATCTTATGGTCAGCACACCCAGGTTGACGGACACTATTTGCATCATAGCTGGAATATTGTGTGCAGATTTGATCTCCTTATCTAAGGAAGGATGTTCTTGTTATAAAGGGAGTGCAGCAAAGGTTTACCTGACTGATTCCTGGGATGATAGGATGGACATATGTAGAGAGGTTGAATCGGTTAGGATTATATTCACTGGCATTCAGAAGAATTTCATGGAAACCTACAAGATTCTAACAGGAATAAACAGGATAAATGTGGGAAGGATGTTCCCGAAGATGGGGGAGTCTACAACCAGGGGTCAAAGTCGAAGAATACAGCGTAGACCATTTAGGACTGAGATAAGGAGAAATTTCTTCACCCAGTGAGTGGTGAGCCTGCAGGATTCACTAGCAAAGAAGGCAGTCAAGGCCAAAATATTGTATGATTTTAAGAAGGAGTTGGATATGACATTTGGGTCCAAAGGGATCAAAGGGTACGGGAGAAAAGCAGGAACAGGTTATTGAGTTGGATGATCAACTCTGATCATACTGAATAGCATTACAGGCTCAAAGGGCTGAATGGCCTACTCCTGCACCTATTTTCTATGTTCACAAAGTTTAACTTTAAAAATTATGAGATCTCTTGGAGCAAACAAATAAACAGATAAGAACCCAAGTTAATTTGTGGGAAATAATGTCAGAAAAATTCCTCTCTGCAATTTCAGGTTGATGATTCTTATATGGAAAAATGTTGGGATCCAGTTGTTGCTCTGCATTATTAAAAAAAAACTCATGTCAGTGTACACTTCCTGCCATCAAAGCTGTATAAGTTTTGTCAGCTGTTTCTGTAACACTGCATATTTTTGTTTCTGCATACATAATGAAAGCTACAAACATGAGCTTGTAATTCTGTAATGAAATCCCTCATCCAGTGGTGGCAGAGTAGCATCTCAGTTTTACATTTCCTGCAACTCCTCAACCTGCACTGCTTCTGCTTCCACCAACTTCACCGCACGCATCCCAAATTGCTATAAACGTATGCTATTTAAGTAGAAATCATTTCAAATCAGTTACACACTGCCCACATTTTCTACCAACTTATACACATTGCCACACTTTCGTTTGAATATTTAACCATCATAGATAGCTTTCTATATCCACACCTGTAATAGGTTTTTCCATTATAAATTAATCTTCCTGTACCTGCACCATCTGACCAGCTGGTGGCTTTGCCTCACAAATTATATGAAATGCTTTCTGAATAATTTTCAATTGAAACATTGTCTTTTATAGTCATTGAAAATATTAATCTCCAAAGTAAAGATCTTAGTAAATAGTAAAAACAATTAATTTCCCAGCAAAATTACCGATTGTTCCCTTGTGCAAGATTTGATTTGAAAACTTTAATTTCTCCTAAAAGCTGAGAATTGAATTTGATATTTTTGACCAGAGATTTGATGCTGCTATTTGAATCATTGCAATTTAATTTGCAATGTACCCAAGTTCCTACAATTCATTGCTAGATGTGTTGTTGGGCTGTTTTCCCTCAGTTTCCAGCACTTTTTGGCCTTTTGCCTTTTTGAAAAATTGGGGGCGGTCTTGTGACGCAGCTGGAGTATCTCTACCTCTGGGCCAAAAGCTCCCGGTTTAAGTCCCCTTAGACGTGCTAATGGCCATGGAAAGTGCTGTCATAACATGACCAGGTAGATTGATTATCAGCCAGTAAATCCTCCTTATGTGCCAAGTGCTGGCAGCAAGAGAAGATGTGACTCCTGGTTAGCCATGTTTGGTGTGGAACGTGCCTCTGGTGACAGATCAGTGATTTGTTTCGGGAAAAGCAAGCTATGGAAATAGACACAAGCTTTGTTTGCCTCATATGCCACTAAGCTTGAGAAAAGAAGAAAGCTTATATTGGATATTTCTTTTTAAAATAGGGGTTGTGTGAATGAGACAATCAATAATGACTGCATTCTGGCTGTAGCTTTTGTTTTGGATTCAATCAACTTCAAAGCACATTAAACTGAGGAAGGGAGACTGAGGTTAGAAAATAAATGAGAAAGAATTAGCAATATTGGGTAGAAAGTCATATCTCATTGTGCTAATCTTTGCAAAAAGAAACAGTTGTTGTGAAGTGTAAGTGAAGACAGTTTTAATATGGAAGGGCAAAATGTGTCGGCGCAGGCTTGGAGGGCCAAAGGGCCTGTTCCTGTGCTGTATTGTTCTTTGTTTTTTTGTTCTTTGTTTTTTGTTGAAGCCAACTAATTGTAACATCTATATTTTCTGACGTTAGAAAAGATGGCTGCAAATCATTTAAACTGGTTTGTGTAACTGTCAATGTCTTACCGTGTTTGAAACTATTAATGCCAATCAGTCAGAGAGGTGCAAATATGCAAGTTCACTTGTGAAAACAAATAAAAGTATATTGAAGGAAATAAATGAGATGAAAGAGGAGATCAGTGATTTCTGGCTTCTTATCTCAAGATTGGAGTGGGGAAGGTCTAGACGGAGGCTTAATGATAAGATGATTCATAGTGGACAACAGGAAGTTACATGAGGCAAATTGTGTAGATCAAAGACAAAGAGGTGAGAGAGTGACAGTAGGAAGGAAAGCTAAGGTTGTAAAATGATGATGGGTGAGACACAATGGAGATGCAAACACGAATGGTTGGTGAAGGGAAGGAGAAAGGAGTTGCTGAGGAGCACAGCTTTTCTCCAACTCCCAGCCCACAAGTAGCTTCCACCTATTGGTTACTCATTTCTTTGACACATCAGGCCCTACCATCCATCACCACCAATCTGAAAGGAGAGAAGGAAATAAAGAACAAAGAGAAGTAGAGATCTAGAGTGCAAGAATCAGGAGAAGAAGATTGGGTTGTGAACTGGTTATGTTTTTGGACTAGTAATTGAGATGATATGATTTCAAATCCTACTATTTACAGTTAAGAATTTGAATGCTAGAAGAATTATTAAAATGCTAGAATTGCTATAAGTTGAAAAATCCCAAGTGTTTCAGTAGTGTCCTTTGAGAAGGAAATCCATCATACTTAGCTGGTTCAGATTAGATATAACGACAATCCCAACATGATACCCCTTTTACTGCCTTTCATGTCTGCTAAAAACGATTCAAGGCAAGGAGCAATAGACAATACATCCCCTCATGCTAAGATTAAAACAAAGTAAGAGAGACAGGTAAGCACGAGTCTATATTTTCTGACTTCCTATCTGTTACACAACATGTGATCAATGAGTAGCATATTAAAAATCTTGCTTTTGCATGAACTTAAAAATTATTCCCTTAACAAAGGAAACGCTTTGTGTACAATTGTCATTCTGTAATCATCAATGTGAAATTGTAGACTCTCAGTTTTGTATCTCAGTTCCTCAGGTCTAATATGAATCACAAACTGCTGCAAAATTTGTTCATTAACTACATAACAACATAAAATCAAAATTATATAAAATTAAAGGCAAAATTTAAGACTTTAAATGGGGCAGTCAATCTTTTTTGCACCTTCCCTGTTCAAATTATACCCTGCTCAACAACTCTAATTCACTTGAAGATTATACTTGATCATGACTCACCATATACGACACCATCAGAAATCAACTGGAGATGAGGAATTTCTTCTCTCAGAAAGTTGTAAATCTTTGGAATTCTCTACACCAGAGAACCATGCAGCTTGAATCCTTGAATATATTTGAAGCTGAAATAGACAGATTTGTGAACCATAAGCAAATCAAAGGTTATTTCGAACAAGCAATAAAGAAGCTTGAGGCTATGATCAAATAAAACATGACCTTATTGAATGGTGGAGCAGTTTCAAAGGGTTGCAAGGCCTATTCCTGCTCCTATTTTCTAAGTTCTTATAACTTGAAGATGTTTGCATGGGATTAAATAGGTATTTGTGAATCTGATTGACCAGCAATATGACTTGCAAGTAGTGGCTGTGACAGATTTGTTCTTCTGTTGTTTCAGATATCGTTCTCCAGCTTCTCATGTCCAAGCTTGGTATGATGAAGTCAAAGATTACACATACCCATATGTACATGAATGTAATCCTTGGTGCCCTGAAAGGTGTTCTGGTGCAATGTGCACCCACTACACACAAGTAAGTGAAATGGCCAAGTATGAGAATACATTTCAAAACAAATACACAAATACACACATGATTTTGGGGCGGTACTGTGGCTCAGTGGTTAGCACTGCTGCCTCACAGCACCAGGGACCCAGGTTCCATTCCAGCCTCAGGTGACTGTCTGTGTGGAGTTTGCATATTCTCCCTGTGTCTGCGTGGGTTTCCTCTGGGTGCTCGGGTTTCGTCCCACAGTCCAAAGATGGACAGGTTAAGGTGGATTGGCCATGCTACATTGCGCATAGTGTCCAGTGATTATAGGTTAAGTGGAATAGCCATGGGAAACATGGGGTTACAGGGATAGAATAGGGGTGTGAGTCTGGTGGGATGCTTTTTGGAGAGTTGGTGTGGACTTCTTGGGCCGAATGGCCTGTTTCCACACTGTAGGGATCCTTAGATTCTAAACCCGTCTTGATTCAAAACAAAAACACATGCTTTACAGAATTGTTATTGAGAAAATGAAAATGTTTGTGTATTCTGCTTGGGAACATGAATTACATAACATCTGGCAAACATGTGGTTTATTAGTTAGAAGAGTTGAATTTTAATCTTTGTTGCTATATGCATATATATATACAGTGGATAAGTGAGCAAGAAAAATCAACTTCAGGAGAGATGTGGAATTATCTATTGCAAAGATTTAGGGCTGAAAGTAATGACTTGTGTGTGATTATTAAGCAAAACAGTTTTGGTTTCACAACAACATAAATGGCTTCATAATTTGGACTTGAAATTGCGACAGTCTGAGCCTACTGACATGGGATCAGTTGATGAAGCACTACCTCAGTTTGCTAGCTGCGGTAAATTCTCAGGGAGCCTCAAAATTACTTTCTGACAATGTTAATGTTTTTGGACAGTTGACTAAGGCTATCTGTTAAACTTAAAGTTTGATAAGCTTACACAAGTTGGTGAATGTGAGTGCCTGCTGTATATACTGAGCAAATTTGCTCTTGTGCACATATGTATATCACAGAGTTGTTAAATACAATATTGTCAGTTACTGATTTGAGAAATTGGGGCAAGGAAGGTGATATGCAAGGACGGGCAGCACTATATGGAATAAGTATTATCAGCACAAAATGGGGTACAGACCATCAGAGAGTGTGGAGGAGATACTGAAATTCAGACCATCTGGTCGTGGCTGTCCAGTCCAGGTTATAAGAGAAAACAAGTACAATCCTTTACTTGGTGCTGTGTCCAGACAGGATTCTGGTTAACAAAGTTATTTTTAAGTTGTTAATTTAATGTCAGTTCTTTAAGTAGCTAATCAACCTTTATTAGAATGTGAATGATATTTTAGTTGCCACAATATCCCACTCTAAGTTGAAACCTACCACAGGCCTTCAGACACATTCACTGCTCCAAAGTACATAGACTTGGCACTTACTGTCACGTAAGAATAAATTTCACATGAGACAGTTTCCTACAGAACTGGGTACTAAATCTTAAAATGATATTTTTCTGGACATCCTGCTGTCTCCCTCAAGGCAGAGGTGAAAGCATGTTTTGCAGGTGTCAGATTTTTGAAATTAAGTTTGCCCTGAAAACTTTCTTCTTTAACTTTAAATAAAGAAGGTTGGGCAACAGTGTTATGATGTTCCAAGTGTACAAACATCAATGTATATGTATATTATACATATACATCATCCAAAAGTTATTGTTTCTTACCATCTGCTATATCTTTGCTCATTTCATAAACTAAGATCCCACCAGATCCATCTGCCTTCGTATTTCACCAGTCCACTATCTGGAACATCTGCAGGCAACAGCTGCAGACCATACACTCTCAGATCTGACCACTAACCATTCAGTTATCTTCCAACTTGGCCCCCTATCAAAGGATAATTCAGTATTTTGTCTTTCTTAAGCCCATGCATGTACTTTGTACTCTTACTGACCCTCAACTCTTATTTCCTCCTGTGATCGTCACTTGGTAAAGATTGTACATTGTTGATTACTTTGCAAGCTGCTAAATCAACCTCGTGTCTTAAATGAGTGAAGCTAGTCAACCAAATTGCATTTCCTTTTTCAAACCAAAATAATAAAGTTACCAATGTTTATTTTCACATGGTTAGCAGTCGGCCATATTCTGTGCACAAGATGTTCGTAAAGTTCGGTGCTTTGTTGAACATTCATTTTGTATTTATTTTCAGTTGGTGTGGGCAACAACAAACAGAGTTGGCTGTGCTGTTAATGTCTGTGGAAGAATGAACGTATGGGGAGAAATTTGGGAGAATGCTGTCTACTTAGTCTGCAATTATTCCCCAAAGTAAGCTGTTGAACATCATATCATTTACTTAGATTTATTGCCATTTAGTTGATAACTGGAAATGTATTATGGAATTCTATGGAACTTTTTAACAGTTATGTTACTTCTAACATTGGAATGGGCAAATACATTTTTATTTAAACGAGTAATTAAAATTTATTTGCTCTTGATGAATTATGCACGTGCCAAATTTTATAGTGCTTCACCTACCTGATCAAAGAAACATGCGAGGGGAAAAATCCTTATGGTGGCACACATCTTTTAACCATTGCTGGGATGTGAGCATTGGTGGCAAGGTAGGAATTTGCAATTTTAGCCAAAGCCAGCATAGATTTGTCCAGGGAAAGTTGTGTTTGACAAATTTGATTGATGTTTTTAAGGATACGACAAGGCATGTAGAAGAGGGAAATGCTTTTGATGTGGATTACGTGGACTTTAGCAAAGCTTTTGAGAATGTCCCTCAGGGAGACTGATTAGGAAAATAAGATACCCATGGGACTCAAGGCAAAGTGAAACTTGGGTCCAAAATTGGCTGAGAGGCAGGAAGTGGAGGGTGATGGCACAGGGATGTTCCTGTGACTGGATGACTGTCTCCAATGGGGTTCCACAGGGTTCAGTGCTAAAGCCCTTGCTATTTGTAATGTGCATTATTGCACTTAATGCAGAGAGTTTGATCAAGAATTTCGTAGATGACACAAAAATTTGTAGGGTACCAAATAGGAAGGGGACAGACGTAAACTCCATGATGATATCAACGGTCCAGTCAGATGGTGTAAAATAAACTTCAACCTGGAGAAGTGAGAGGTAATGCACTTGGTAAGGCCTAACAAGGCAAGGGATTACACTATGAATAGTAGGACCCTGGAAAGTAAGAAAAATCAGAAGGACCATAGTGTGTGTATTCACAGATCTCTGAAGGTAGCAGGGTGGGTAGATAAGGCTGTTAAAAAGGCAGATAGGATACTTGCTTTTTATTAGCTAAGACATTAAAATACAAGAGGTTATGGGGAACTGGTTAGGCCACAACTGGAGTATTGTGTGCAGTTCTGATCAGTGCATTTTAAGCAAGTTGTGATTACATTAGAGAGGGTATAGAAGAGATTTACCAGGATGTTACCTGGGCTGGAGGGTCTGACAGTGAGGATAGATTAGATAGGCTGGGTTTGCTTTCTTTGGAGGAGCAAAGGTTGAGAAGGGACACCTGATAAAAGTGTTTAAGATTATGAGGGGCATAGATAGGATGAATAGGAAGGCAACAAGAGGTAGAGGTTAAGAGGAGAGTTGAGGAGAAATCTTTTCACCCAGTTAGGAGTCTGGAACTCACTGTCTGAAAAGGTGGTTAAGTCAGAAGCTCTCATAATATTTAAGAAGTATTTAGAAATTCACTTTCATTGCCATAGCCTCCAGAGTTATGGACCAAGAGCTGAAAAATGGGATTAGTGTAGTCAGATATTTATTGGCTGGCACTGATGTGATGGACTGAATGGCCTCCTTCTGTGCTGTAAACATCTAAGAGGTTATGAGAATTTTTGCGCATCCCCAAGTGCTCTTGAGACAGTGGTGCTAAGTCAATTGCATTAATTGCTGGAGTCCATGGCACACCCACACTGATGGAGGAAGTGCACGCATTAGCTTCAGCATGTTAGGGAGCTGGAAATTAGTCAGGGATCCATTAACATTTCAGTGACATTGCTTGAAAATTTGCATATGTTTAGATTGGCAAAGAACCAGATTGGTCTTGGAAGTGGTACTTTTCATGGTTGAATGACTTGCAACACTGCCAGAACCAATAGCCATTTGGGTAAGGTGTCAGAGCGCTGCTGAACTGGAGTTAGAACTCAGCATGAGTCATTGCAGAGGAAGGAAGAAAACGCTTGGGAACAGCTGCCTTCACTTTTTGTTTCGACATAGACTCATTTTTTCACTTGGACGAGTGCAACAATTAGCAGATAGCTGGTAAGATCCTTGTCCTCCTGCCACCTTGAACCATGTCTTAAAGCAATGAGAAATAAAAGGTCTCCCTTCTATCCCACTCCCATTTATCACTGCGTTTGATGGTTGGTGCATTGCTTCATATTACATGACATGACCGTTCTTGCTCAGGTTATACGCAAGTTTGGAACCTGTATTTGGTTATTAACTCTTTCATTTAAGAATCAAGGAAATGTGTGTTCATCGGCTAGCTTTATTTTAGATTATTTAACTGAGCTGATAATGGATTAAACTGATTTTTTTCTCTGTTTTTAACTAACCAGGGGAAATTGGATTGGAGAAGCTCCCTATAGACACGGTCGGCCATGCTCAGAGTGCCCACCCAGCTATGGTGGAGGCTGTAAAAATAATGTCTGCTACAAAGGTATATAAATCTGTCATACAGCTCCCAATAAAATGGACCAGCTAAAAGAATTTACTCCCCAACATCTAAAAATAATCTTAGTTTTCTTTCATAAGGGGTTTTTGAATGGAGATGAGTGTTCATTAGTGTTTTGCTGAGCCTAATATTTAGTGTCATTAAAACAACATGGAACCCTGAGTTAGTGTGGCTGAGCCATCAATGTGGCTGCAAACGTTATCAAAAGGAGCTAGGCTGAATGGCTCTCCAGTCGTGTGTTTGAAGCTGGGATGGTGGGGGTCGGGGGGGAGCTTGCAAAATGCAACCTGCAGCCTGTTTGCTGTCCTTCCAATGCCCTTAACTTGAGTCCCATTATTGGGCTGGGTGGGTTGGTGGTGAAGTTTGGAGGCATGGGGTGGTCCACTCACCCTTGGGATTGTTGAACCAGTTAAGTATCCAATTAATGGTCACTTAGGTGCCTCATATTGGCCTGCCACTATTTTACCTGCGCCAGGGCCTGGTATTTTTACTCTGTCAGCTGGTTCCGAGATGCGGGCCCATTGTTCATCAGAGATTTTCTCCCAACCTTGACCACTCATTGAGTAGACTGGGGTTACTTTCCTTGGAGCAGAGGAAGTTGATGGGGGGACATGACTGAGTTGTATAGAACTTTGAGGAGCATAGTCAGGGTAGACAGGAAGAAACTTCTCCCCTTGATGGAGTGATCGATGACCGGGGCATAGATTTAGGGTGAGGAGCAGGAGGTTTAGAGCGGTTAAGAGGAAAATGTCTTTTCCACCCAGAGTGTGGTGGTAATCTGGAGCTCACTGCCTATAAAAGTGGTAGAGGCCAAAGCCCTCATATCATTTAAGAAGTATTTAGATGTGCACTTGCGATGCCAAGGCATACAAGCTATGGGCCAAGTGCTGGAAAATGGGATTAAAATAGCTAGGCTGTGTTTTTGACTGGTGCAGTCTCAATGGGCCAAAGGGCCCTTTGTTGAGCTGTAACCCACCTATGACTCTCAAACCGAGCCCCCTGCAAACACTCTTGCTGTAGGCTCACTGATGCCCTGAGCCACCCTTCAGTCTAGTCTTTGTAATTTTCTCTTCTTTGGTTCTGCCTGTAGTTCCAACACCATGTTCAAACAGTTTGAACTTGGCACTGCAGCAACTACTGAGCTGCAAGCCAATCGAATGGCCAACAGCACCCTTAAGGTAGGAATTCACATTCAGGCGAAAGGTTCAGCCTAAGCTATTTACTGCCATACTTACTTTTTTTGTGGGAGGGTTCCTAACTAACCTTGTACTTGGGTCAAGGGCTGGTAGGGAACTTGACATCCCATAAATTGAGCAAAAAGTCCCAGTTAAAGTATGTTTTTGGATGAATAGAGTGAGGGGAAATCTGAAACCGAAGTACCAAAGAGAAGGTGAATGTGGAAAGGTTCAGTTTCAAAGAAGTTACTCTATGACTCTAAGTTAGAACCTGAAATAATGGAGTAATTAGTAAAGTGGAAAAATTCACAATAGACTTCAAGCCTTCAGCGAGGATGCAAAAATAAACATCTAACATCTAAAATGAGAAATGGCCAACTATCTTGTTCGGGACTAAAATCTGACCCTTTCATACCAATGTGAGGGTATCAAAGTGAGAGAACAGAACAGAAAATGGGAAGTTTAATTGAAAGAGATTAGGCAAGATAGTGGCAAAGTGGTAATTTTACTGGACCAGTAATTCAGAACCCACGCTATGTAGGGGACCTGGGTTTGAATCCCACTGTGAAAAATGGTGAAATTTTGATTAAATTAAAATCTGGAATAAGAATATAGATGGTTGCTATTAAGCTAACTGCTGTCAATTGTTCTAAAAACCCATCTGTTTCACTAATATCCTTTGAAGGAAATCTGCTATTCTCACTTGGTATGGCCTGATGTGACTCCAGACTGCCAGCAATATGATTGACTTTTAACTGCTCTCTGGGCAGCAAATACTGGTCTAGACCAAAACATCCACCTTCCATGAATGAATGCGAAAAAGAAAGGATAACATTTTATACCCTCAAATGTAGTCAAATAAGATTTTTGAATGGAAAATTCTGTATAGCATTTGTGCAAAGGGGCTGAAGAAAGAAATTTTAAAAATGCATTAAACAAAATCATGAATAGCTGTAATCATTTATAGTTATTCCTTCTTTGCTGTCAGTATACATTTACTTGAGTTGAACATTCTAATAATTTATTACAGGACTATGTTTCATAGAAAGGGTTCACTTTTTCAAACATTGGAATAGGCAGCATAGCAGTTTTATATTGGCTACACAATATCTAGTTTACCAAAGGAGTTTAAAATTTACCTTAGTTCATACATAAATATGGCCACAAGAAAATAGAACTGACATAGTTAACATCACATTATGCGGTTTCCAATTTATTTTTGTATTTGCTATGAGTAAAAGATTTCAATGTCTCCCTACTCAGCCTAAATTAATATAATTTTTGGTCTACTAATTTTAAATTCTTAATCCAGTTGATTTTGGCTTGTGTAATCCACTTCTGTGATGAATAGCTGCTTGTTTCTAAACAGAACCTTTCATTTTAAGCTGCCAGGTACTTTTTTAACAGTTGATTTGGCATTAAATGAACTTTATAAGCAGAATTGAGAGGCTATGGCGCTCTCAGTTTATTTCTGCTGGGGATAGGTGAGGTGACATCAAAATTCAAGGAAACACCAAATCAATTAATTAACAAAAGGATTCCTGCATTCTCTCAATGGATCAGACCAGATAGAACTACATAACCAGAAAGGTCTGAGGCGCAGTTTCCATTTTGTGTTATGCCCTTACTTATCAGATAGGGCACTTAAATTGTCTTTTATAAAAGTGAAAAGATTTCGGCCTCATATTGTTGGGCAAAAATCACTGCTGAAAGTGGCTGTGGCTAAGGTTGAGATTGGATATAATGCCTCCTGTGGTTGAATAGACCCTTGTCACTCCACTGAGGCCAGGATTTTGCACTATACATCTGACAAAGGACAGACGGGACTATATCTGAGAACAAGATAAAACTTGTTGACATCTACCTCCACACCGCATGCTAACTGGAGGTACCCTCTCCCCAACAAGCTTCCCATGTCCATCAGGACAGTTGTAGAATCAGAGAGCCCGTCAAGAAAGGCCTCTTCTGCTTTTTGTTTGGCCTGCAAAGCTGCATCCATAAAGAAGATAACCTCAGACTTCAGTGTCTTGGCTATACAACCGACTGAGGGAAGGTGGGTGCTGGAAAGAAGCCAGTATTCATCAGACCTTGGCCCAGGAAAAACTTAATGCTTTCAGGAGAAGTGGGAGAAACATGGTGAGAGAAAATGAAGAGAAACTTTTTTTATTATTGTCGATGGAGATAGAAGGAGGGATCTAATTTTTGGGAACTGACCATCGGATATCTTCGTAACAAATGCAAACTTGCCAAAGGTCTCTGTTTACTGATATATTATGGCATAACTTTAACACTGACAACCTCACCTAATATACTGCTAGCACCACGTACTTGCTTCTATGTTAGCAATTAACACTGAATATTTCAAAAATATTCAGACAAAAGACGCTGCTCATGTATTTCCATTCAGCATTTTGGCTGTTAAACTAGACTGTTAACGTTGTACTTCCATATAAGAACGTTTACTTTTTGATGTGTAAAGCTAAAATAGGAGAGATTCAGCCAGGAATTGTATCATTATAACTAGTCACTGTGTTGTGTATAAGTCACAGATATCATATCATAAGGTACCTATTTAGCCAGTGGGACAAAAAGAGTCTGATGTAGAAATCTAATTGCTAATACTTGTGTATATTTTGCAAGTAGTCTTTGGTGTTAGTCTTTCCCAAACTTTGAAGGAAAGAAGGGCAATTCTTTTGCTTTCCAAAAATGTAGACCACTATTTTCTCAGGTGAGCTGTTTTGTCAGTATGCAAATTGGATGAGGCCAAATGCTAAATATTCAGTCTACTGAGGAGGAGCTTGGAAATGAAAGGGTGGAAACTAGGATGTTTACAAAGAAACAGACAAAAAGGAACAGCAGAAAAAAAAATCTTAATTCATTGCATCTGAATTGGAATTCTGCTCTTGTGCGTGCAAAATGTTATTTAACTTTATTTCAACATGTGTTCTCAGACAATGGAGAGATAAGACGACAGCATGAACAAACCAATGAAGTGGAGCCTCCCCAGATCAATACAGATGCATTAAACCCATGGACAGTGCTATATTCCCAACCACAACCACAGCCAAAGGAGGAACCTAACAGCATGGAGTACATGAGTAAGGAAGCATTTGAGCTGTATGACTAGATAACTTAAATGCTGCAGAAAACATCAGGAGTGTAATGTGCTGCTTTGAAAAGAAAATCTCTCCAGCTTTCTGTCTCAGGAGCACAAGTGAACATCAGTCTTTGTTGGAATGCATAATTGCAAATAAGATTTAGAAGCTGAAAGGGTCTCATAGTAATGTAGCAATAAGCGTTTGTATGGCTGATCCATTTAAATACAAAAGGAATTCTCATCAGGGTAGTGAGAGATGACTGTAGCTGCTTCTATAGAAACAATTTCAGAGATAGTAGGAACTGCAGATGCTGGAGAATCTGAGATAACAAGGTATAGAGCTGGATGAACACAGCAGGCCAAGCAGCATCAGAGGAGCAGGAAGTGTGACGTTTCGGGCCTAGTCTGAAGAAGGGTCTAGGCCCGAAACGTCAGCCTTCCTGCTTCTCTGATGCTGCTTGGTCTGCTGTGTGCATCCAGCTCTACACCTTGTTATCCCTGTAGAAACGGTAGTTTGTTGGGAACCTTAATGCAGACGGCTTCAAGGATCCTTAGGATATGGACCCCGTAGTTGTTTGTCTGCACCTTCTATTTATAGATAGTAAAGAAACACAAACATTGTTTTATTCATTAGTACCCAGAAATGTCAGCTTTCCTCCTTTGTCTATGCCAGTCTTTGTTTAGTTTTGTTTTCATATTTTTGCCTTCATTTGCTGGTCAGTGCTTCTTCACTTGTTCTTGATTACATCCAATTTCCTCCAATGTCAACCTTTCAGTATTTCCATAGCATTCGGTAATGTTTGCTCATTTTCATTGTAATAGGCACAAGTTGATGCTTTCTAGACATTATTGTATAATAGTACACAATGTTTTTCATCATGTGTTTATTCTGAGAACAGTAGGAATGTTTAAATTGTGAAATCTTCCTACTTTTTGGAAAAAATTGCATAATCCTTGGAGTTTATAAATAGAAGCAGGAAATACAAGAGCAAAGATATTGCTCTACCACACTCTTTCAGAAGGATGTCAAAGCCTTGGACAGCTTGTAGAAAACAGTTATCAGAATGTGATGTAGATGAGGGACTATTATTGCAAATTACTGCAGAAGCTGGAATCTGTACTGAAAACAAAACATGTTGGAAACCACAGTGGGTCAGGCAGCAATCCTGGAGAGAGAGCAAGCTAACATTTTGAGTCTAGATGACTCTTCATCAGAATTCTTCTTTGTTTTCATATAAATGAGGGACTTCAGCCAAGTGCAGATTCTAGAGAAGCTGGGATTGTTCTCCTTGCAACAGAGATGGTTAAGAGGACATTTAATTGAGGTGCTCAAATTTCTCAATGGTTATGATCAAATAAATAGGGAGTAACTGAATGGAAAGAAAACATTTGTAAGGTTATGGGGGAGAAACAGGGAGTAGGGCTAATTGGATATTTACTAATATTCTAGTACAGACAAATGGCCTCCTTCTGTTCTGTAACTTCCTATAATGCTATATTCTTCGCAGTACTTCATTTAATTTATTTACTGCCAGCATTCTGCAGCTTGGAATTCTGGGATCTTTCTGAAAGGTTTGACTATCTCCATTTGACCTCTCAGCTCCTGGTCACCTGTAAATCTCATAGTTATATTCCTCAGTGCCACCTGTTCCTTATTAAAGCAGTAATTTACATGACATTCTTCCCTCATTGCATCCATCTTAAGGGCTGCTCAACCAGGCAACTAAGATGATTAAAATTTGTATTGTAACCCCCGCTGAGAACTCACAAAATATGATCCTGATCAAAGGATTCTGCTTATATCCTGTCTCCATGCAGGTTCTTTAGGGTGGAGAATGCATTGCTATATGCAATAAATGGGAGTGCTACTACATCCAGGACAGATTTAAGGCTCAGAAATCTGGTTACTGGGTGTCCAAATCTAACCATTTCCCTTAACGCATTTATTCAGAGACACATCTGTAACTGAATTTTAGTTGCATTATGGGTCTATACTTGGTACCATTCTCAATTTAGCAGACTTCATCTGGTGTGATGTAAAACATTGTTTTGTGAATTAGGTGAATGGCCGTGAGGACTGAATGTATGTCTGAGCAGTGCAGATATTTTTCCTGTTCTGAGTATCAGTACTTATTTGATTTCATAACTTGGCCAATGCAGATAGGGGAAATTCTATCTTTCTTTTGTGAGACAGTATGAGATACCTGGTGGTTTTCAGATTCCCCAGTTCCCTCTTACTGGATGATTCACAAATTATTTTGCAGCCTTGAATGCCCAGAAACTTTCCAATCTTGACATTAAACATGTGTTGTTCCCTGTCAGCATTGGAATAGCTACCACTATTGTGCTCCAGCTACATCAATAACCTGACTAAAAGCATTCCATGAAAAATAAGGAGCTCTGAACCATTTTCTTTTACGTTGATTTTGACCTGATCATGTTTATTTGTTATAAAGGAGATCCAATTGTCCTCTGTGTCAATTAGAAACCTATTTTAGACGGATTTTGGAACAACCTTCCATTGATACAATGCATTCTGGGTTTTGATGTGTTCCGGTCTTCAAAAACGGGTCCCACACTGTGAGTTTTGTCCCCTCTGGGTCCCTGGCATGAAAGTTTAGGGTGGGCTGCAATGGAATTGGACTGGAGACACTGATTGACAATCTGTGGTCGTTTGTGAGGCCCCTTTAAATGAGCACTTCATTTTTGCCTATGGCCATTGAATCAATGAGCTCTGAGGCCCTATCACTCACACCAACACATGCTGCAAATAGTGTGTGTCTTAGATTTTTTTGTGCCTGTCATGCTGCTCTTCGAATCCCCACCCTGCTCAGCAACTCACCTTGCGGCACTCTCCTAACAATTTTCACTCAGGGGTCATACCTAGTATGAAGCATTAAAATAGAGTCAAAACAGAAAGAAGTTTGGGAAACACTGCTTTATACTGAATAATACTGAGTATAATCAGCTAATTAATGTTATCCTGAATATTGCCCATCTCATCTGCTATCCCCTTCAATGTTATGAACGCATTCTGTTGTTCCTGGACTGCGTTCTTTTATTCTGCTTTAGTTACTTACTTTCTCATCACCTTGTTATGCTCTGACAGTGATTCAATGCTGGTCTTGTTCCAAGCTACGGTATTTGTTGTTATTCTTATTCTTATTCATTCTCCTAAATTCCTCCTTATTTTCCTTCTTTGGCCCACAATCCAGATTATGCTGACTCGAGAGATGCTTTGTAAGTTTAATCATTTGCAGATACATTTGCTCATACATTTGAGAACACAGGACTTTTCACGCTGTAGCAGCAGTGGAAATGAAACAAAACTGGAACAATGTCGAAGCTTAATTTAATAACTTCATGTCCACTCTTTGGTCCACTTTCAATATCATCCAGATTTCTGAGTCCAACCTCTGCCCATGTCCACTACTTATGCTAACTAGTCAGTCAGTTTCCAAACCTGCTGTTTCAATCCTTCCTTTTTGATCATTCTTCAAAATGTTGTTTGATGCTTTTCTGATTTATCTGCTCTTTGGTTATCAGTCATTTGTGTCAATACTATTGGATCTGCTGCATGCATCAATACCTTTTCTGGTAAAGTCTGTTCTGTGACTCTATAGAGCTACTATCGTGTGGAAGAAATGCTCTCAGCGGTACTCTGACACTGCAAATGCTGAGAATCACAATCGCCTGTTATAAAGTCTGAAAATCTATTGCACCTCTTCTGAACAGACCTTAAATGGTTTACTTCGCATGATACACAATGCCTTTGTTCATTTTCTGATATTCTCCTGTCACTTGTGGAATGCAGTTGCTAAATATTGACTTGAATCAAGTTCTGAAACTTAACATTTAATAAATCATTATACCTTTATGCTCAGCATGACAACTTAGCAAAACTGGTTGCTTAGCTATAATAATAGGAACATTTTTTTAAAAAATCACACTGTTTATGGAATTAAGGAAGCTAACTTCTCTACAGCAAAAACAATGCAAAAAGGATGGACTCAGTTTCATACATGCTCCAGGCCTGGGTAGATAGCAAGTAAATTTAAAGAATCATTACCAAATTGGAAAGGAAACAATTTCTCTTTGCTAGCTGTAAAAAAATGATGTAGCCCTATAACCGTGTGATTCTTCAAACTCCCTTTATCAATTAATTTCTTGTGCATTTGACAGTGTAAGATGTTTCCTGTGAAGTTAATTAAATCTGCAGTCAATTTAGGTCCAAGTAAATCTGCACAATAATCTTGAAAGCAAAATATGATTTATTTCATGAAGTGCAAATTAATTCTGCCAAATAAATTTCAACCTCAGTTAATCTGGGATACTCACCTTTAGTTTAAAATATATGTTGATTTTCAAACAATAGATTTCCTGAATTTCTAACATTTAAACATAAGCAACAATACCTTAGGTTTTATATTTAAACTAATAGAAATGTGCCAGAACTGAAAAAGATGCATCCTTAATAAATGCAGAACTGTTAACATAAACAGAAACCAATTGTTGGTTAAATACTTTATCAACTGTTATTAATCTACACTATATAACACAATACAGTGTGGAGTTGGAGGAGCACAGCAGGCCAGGCAGCAGGGAAGTTGACGTTTGGGCTCAGGACCCTTCTTCAGATTTTTTCTGAAGCAGTGTCCTGACCCGAAACGTCAACTTTCTTGCTCCTCTCATGCTGCCTGGCCTGCTGTGCTCCTCCAGCTCCATACTGTGTTATCTCAAACTCTAGCATCGGCAGTTCCTATTATCTCTATATAACACAAAGTTGCAAAGACAGAATTTTAGTTTGTTCATTGCTTTGAGAATATAAAACACTGTTTTATTCACATTGTTTGACACTCCAATCCAAGTTATCTTAATCACATGACATTCACTTCTTATTTGTTCTCATCCACCCTGTAGAATGTTGATGCCTTGTTATGGTTATGAACTTAACAGTGCCATTTTCCAAGTGACAATCCTGGATTATGAACCAGAGAATAT